TTAAACCATTGGGGAATTTTCCCTTTAGGAATTTTGTTTAGTCTGGGTGAGATGTGTTTCCAGTCAAGCAAGTGAGAGTTATTTGTTGTAGTAAGTTGATCAAGAAAAAGTATATGGTGGTGGCGTAATTGTTTTTTAAAAGTAGGATAGTTAGGGTGTTGGGACAGAATAGATTCAAGAGAGATTGATCCCTCTTGAATTGTAAATGGTATAGATGTGTTTGGGTTGGGGTAAACTTCCCAGCTCAGGTGTCGAACAATTTCATTTTTATTTATTAATATTAATTGATATTCATTATTGATTTTTTCAACAGATATGTGTTGATTATTTGATATAATGTAACAAAAATTATCTGCTATGTTTATTTGTAAATTTGTTGTTGCGATAATATTATTATATCTATCAGCAATGAATAATTTTAATTTTCCAAATAGAAGAATCATTTTATTATCATTGTTATTTTTAATACATAATGGTTCCATGTGAAATTTAAATCAATAATATTCATTATTTTTTAAAAAATAATATTCTTGTTCTGTATTATCATATTTTAAGATACCATTGTTAACTGTGACAAATTTTTGACATGTATTTGGATAATTTTTATTCCAATGTAAAAAGATATTTACAGGTATGTTGAGATTTAATCCATTAGAGAATGTAATAATGACTATGTTTTTGTTTATGAAAGAATCGTATATGGCAATTCCTAAATACAATAATCCAAATATGATTGCTCGATGCCACATTTCTTTAAAACATGTTTCTATTCTCTATCATTTTCATGAGTTACAAATACACAATATTCATTGTCAAAATCGATTTTATTTTTATCCAAACTGGTAATTTTGTCTATAGGTTTATTTAAACTTTCCTTTCTAATATTTGAAGTAGGGATCTTTTGGTATCACCTTTAGCTTTTTGATTTCTTAACCAATCAAACATTTCTATGACTATCACATCTATTGCATTCTCTCTTATCATATATACAACTGAAATTCTAAAAAATAGTTCTACGATTTTTCTATATAGAAAAATATCTCCTATTGTTCCTTGAATAGCATTTATTGCAGATATAGCAATTCTCTTGCATCACCTCAAAATCTATACCAGACTACTCTCAAAACTGTATAAATAGTGCCAGTATTTGGTATGGCATCAACTATTCAATAAATTTTATTAAAAATGATATTTGACATATTTATTCAAAAAAATATACTTTAAATTCAACTTGGTTATTTATATAAAATTTTATCTACAAAATAGCTGATATAATTAATAGAACCAGGATTGATATTATAAAAAGATATGGTCACATGGTTAATAATTTTTTTAAACAATATTATTGTGTGCTTTTATATATTCTAATGGATGGGATATTTTTAGCTGTTTCAAAAATGATCTGGAGTGCAATCAATTTAGATGCAAATGAAACCATAGTTGTGGCTAAAGATGTTTTAATTGGAGTACTTTTAGATGCAGCTTTTTTGGAAGTAATAGGAAAAGTAGCACTTGCTAAAATAACTGTTCTTGTCACAAAAGATGTGATAAAAATAGATATAACTAAATATTTGAAAAATAGAGTTGTAGAGAATAGAGAGTTTTTACATAAAATATTAGAAGAAAAACTTAAGAGATTGCAACAAGCATCTAGAAAGACCATTGTTAATGATAATAGAGATAAGATCAATTTTGAAAATGAACAGTGTATGTTTATAATCAATAAAAATATAACTCCAGATCAAATAGTGAGTCATTTAAAAATTTTTTTTTTTTTTTTTTATATTAAAGGTGAGGTCTTGCTCGTATCTTTATTTAATAATTTATATAAGTGATTACA